GGACATCTGTTTTGTAGTTAAAATCCAAATACCTTAGCCACTACACACTGCTTCATGGAAATTGAATACTTTGGCCGCTAAAACCTATCTAAATAGCACACCTGAAAAGAGAGAATCATACTTAATGTTGCCAGACTTGTGTGAAATAGGAGTTGCGAGTTAAATAAATGCTTATCTTGCGAACTTCAAAGCTGATGGGTTTGGCATTTTGGGTTTGTGTGAAGAAATTACTTCATCCACACTGAGTGAGATATTGCATGACGAGTTTATTTCAGGTTGCCCGGCTATTGGTAAGCCGGTTTATATTTGAAGATACGTTGAAACTACCTCATTTCAACCATACATATGTTTTCGATTATTTTTTATGTAGCGAACTTCATGAAACTGTCAAAACAAAAAAGACTTCTCAATAGAAATGTGGTATTCATTGTTTATCGAACGAACTGCCAAGTAATTTTAGTTAGACACAAAAACTCTGATAACCTATAATATATGTCTGTATACGTGAATATAAAGTCTGAAAATAAAGATAATATAAGCGTTTATGATGTAGGAGTTATCAGATATTTTGTCAACCATTATGAACGTTGGACCTGATATGGATTTAAGTCATCACACTCCATCAGTTTAGAAAGAGGGATCCAACAAGGTTAAAAGGAAAGATTGGAAAATAATATTGAAGTTAATAGAAATCTGAACAATCAAATACGGTTCAAAATGAAAGCAAAGAACGGAAAATCGGAAAACAAGTACAGCCATGTCGTCCAGTTATTGATTATAAGCATTGGATAGACTACACTGAAGTATTCCGTACCTACTCATACTTTTCCAACTGAAATTCAGTGACTTCATAGACTGATATGGTGTCTTAATTTGCTTACTTTTAAGTTTTGTCAACATAGTTCTATATTAGGCAACATAGCACAAAGAACTAGATGGTGGTTAGGGATAACTAACGTCCCGATCGAAGTTATGATTGGTAAATATTCTGGCAGAATTGTGAACGTTTATAATATATTTATTTCAAAACCGATGCCATGAAAGTTTGGATATATGTATCTGAGCTACAAGAACATAATCCGGACCAGAACAACGTCACAGAGAAAAGCTAAATGTTTCTCAATCGTTCAGCATTATGAAAATACCATGCACTAGAGCTAATATGAAAAGTTACGTAATAATTAAGTTAGCTCTTATCAATTTAGAAACAGAGCCTACCACAAAGATGGAGGAAATTTATGATTTGCACTATTAAATTTTAATGTATCTGCAGAGGCTGTTGACGGAAAAGCAGTGATTTTTTCGACAATTAGCGATTACCATAAACGGGATGTTCATATAGTGTCACGGAGTTAGAGAGTATTCATGTAACACAGCAACATCGCAGCGACCTGATAAATTAGATGAAAGTTTAGTGATCAATACAGTGTCTGGGTCTTAAGAAGTTTCGAAATATATCACTAATTACCTACCAAGCAAACACCAAACCTATGTGATGGCGCTTTACTTCGTAGTAACAAGGAAACTCTGCGCATCGAGTGGGTACTTTTGAAGTTGTGTTCCCTAGACTAGGTTATTTGGTTGTAAAGCTACCGTCATTTTGGCGACAGTGTTTACTTCATATGTATGTGAAGTATTTTGCTCTATATAAAATACAAAACCGATGGCACTTAGAGACTTTCGAAACGATAGAACGACCACTCCCTTTAGATATTCATTCTTAATTTTGGGAGATTACTCAGTTAGTTGGAGAACCATGAATCACTGTAAAAAAATACACACGATTGTCGAATATATTTTCAGTAATTTTCACCCTGTCCGTACAACACTGGACGTTGTTACTCTAGACATTTGTACAATTTTTTCTTTAAACATGTCACATTGGTACATGTATTTTATGGTTGAATGTAATGAAGCACCAACAGTATTGTCACCAAGATTGAAAACAAGCTTACCATCTATGATGCTACACTTTAAAGTGGCGGCTTACCTTAAAAGGTCGTTCGAGGCGAATTCAAAAAATGCCGGATTTTCTTCAGACAGCAAGAGTGAACCAAGTATTTTGATACTTTTGTCTGTATCGCCCAGTGAGGTTTAAGAGCGAAGCAATATTAAAACATCTATCTTGACTTTTCGAGAAATGAGAAAACAAACGTATAAGTTAGCTACCTTTTCCGAGATAGAACAGGGTGCTGAATGAATCAGGTTAGTCATCTCTTTGGAGGTCTCTTAGCTGTTGCAGTTTCAAGCAAAAGGACTGAGAAGGCCATTTGCGTAAACACTGGTTCAATACTAAGCCATGTAGCATTCTCATTAGCATAGATCTCCATGGGATGACACACTTCCATCTAAATCAAGTCCAGTAGAAACAGATTTTCCTGAAGTTATCGTACAAGTTGAATTCAATGAACTTGAATTCACCTTATTTATACAAAGAAACTCTCCAGCTCTGACAGAGAAGAGTGAACAGACGAAATCCACATCAAGTCAGGAAATACGTAGGACTCAACAGGCCTCCATAACTCTTCCAGAAACAGTGAACAGGTTCGCCTTTCTGATGTCATCTAACTTACCCTCAAACACTCTAGCTTATCTGATCAGTTCATTATTCATTCTAATTACTGAGACCTGGTGCATACACAATATTTCTGATTTACCAAAGTGTGTAGATATTTGCTGCCGGCCACCATACCACGTTGAAAGCACCGGATCTCGTCTGTAGATATTTGCTAGAGTGATTTGAGGAACTCTTGAATAGGCCAGCTCCAATGAATCCACTGGACATCGAAGCATCACACACAGATCTTCCCACAGATGTCAATCCATCAACGACGGAAGAAATCAGAATGGCCATCAGACAAATCAAGAACGGGAAAGCAGCAGGACCTGACAATATACCAGGTGAAGCATTGAAGTCAGACATCGAAGTAACTACAAGTATGCTTCACCTTCTATTTAAAAAGATTTGGGAGGAGGAACAAGTGCCAATAAACTGTAAAGAAAGATACCTCATCAAGATTCCAAAGAAAGGAGACCTGAGCAGATGTGAAAACTATAGAGGCATCACACTACTGTCAGTACCAGGAAAAGTCTTTAACAGAGTTTTGCTGAATCGGATGAAAGATGCAGTAGACGCCCAACTTCGAGATCAACAAGCTGGATTCCGTAAGGATCGACCATGCACAAACCAAATTGCGACACTACGGATCATCGTCGAACAATCAGTTGAGTGGAATTCGTCACTTTACATCAACTTCATTGATTATGGAAAGGCATTTGACAGTGTAGATAGGAGAACGTTATGGAAAATTCTTTGACTCTACGGAGTTTCTGAGAAGGTTGTCAACATTATCTGGAACTCATTCGACGGACTACAATGCAAAGTCGTGCATGGAGTACAGCTGATAGATGAATTCCAAGTAAGGACCGGAGTCAGACAAGGCTGTTTACTCTCTACCTTCCTCTTTCTTCTGGTGGCCGACTGCTTTCTGAATACCTCGACATCTGAGGGAAAAGATGGCATACAGTGGACAGCCCAGAACCAATTAGACGATTTGGACTTCTCAGATGGCCTAGCCCTCCTATCGCATACACATGAACAAATTCAGAAAAAAACAGACAGCAGTCTCGGCAACAGTAGTCTCAACACACACATGTGGAAAATCAAGATCCTCAAATTCAAAACAGAAAACAGCAATCCAATCACTGTTGATGGCGAAACTCTGGAAGGTGTAGAGTCCTTCACATACCTGGGAAGCATAATCGATGAACATGGAGGATCAGATACAGACGTAAAGGCAAGGATTGGAAATGCAAGGACAGCATTCCTACAGTTGAAGAACATATGGAACTCAAAACAACTTTCAACCAATATCAAAGTGAGAATCTTCAATACCAACGTCATGGCAGTTTTAAGGTATGGAGCTGAAACTTGGAGAACTACAACAACCACCATCAATAAGGTACAAGTACTTATGAATAGCTGTCTTCGCAAGATACTCAACATTTATTGGCTGGATACCATCAGCAACAGCCCTTTGTGGGAGAGAACAAATCAGCTTCCAGCTGAAGAAGGAATTAGGAAAAGACGATGGAAATGGATAGGACATACATTACGCAAATCATCAAACTGCATCACAAGACAAGCCCTAACTTGGAATCCTGAAGGGAAACGGAAAAGAGAAAGGCCTAAGAACACATTACGTCAGATAACAGAAGCACATATGAAAAGGATGAATAGGAACTGGAAGGAGCTGGAAAGGATTGCCCAGGACAGGGTTGGATGGCGAAGGCTGGTGAGCGGCCTATGTTCCTTCACGAGGAGTAACAGGTATCAACTGTTCAATCAATGCCTAGCCACAGCAAACCCATCAGGAACACTTTCAAAGTTTAACATTTTTACTTCCGTACAGTTTAGACCTTACTATATATACTAAAAGCCTGGAATTCGAGACTGCTTTAATTTTAGTGACAACATTTTAAGCCTCCCAAATATTGAAGAACAGCATTCATGAAGACGCTGATTATCTATGTAAAAAAACTTATTGCCGGTCATCAAACCTTCATAAATCAGCAAGGTGCGTCACAGATGGTCATAAAGGTTTAGCTCGGTCCAAGCAGGTACATATGAATTTTGTCTAGGTATGGAAAACAGAATGTTCTCACTCAATATCAAAACGTGGTCACCATGTCAGCTATTTTTTGGTTCTAGCGCTAGGATTTTAAGTGGTTTTAAATCTGTTAGTTGGAGTTCTGACAAACCGAATTTGCTTAGATCTGTGATCTAGACATGATTATGTATACATTTATTATCTGTAGACAAAGGCATGAACTGACAGTATTTGTCTTATTGTGACCGGATATATAAGTTTACATAGCTGCTACTCTGAGGGTACTTGTTGTGTTCCATTTAGTACTTATTTCTTGTACTAGCTTGGCATAATATGGTGTCTATGTACCTTTCTTTTGATGTTTACTAATTTCGATAGGCGAAACATATTATGAAGAAATCAGCAGAGTTTTCTAAAGATGATGTTATTACGGTTCCTCTCGAAGATGATTTGACGCCAGTAAATGGAGTCCCAAAAGAACACCAATCTGAAAGGCGTGTTAGAATTTTCATCCCAGCTAAACCTGCTACTCAATCAGGCATTCATGGCACTCGACTTTGGCGTATTGAGTTCGACAATCGCGAACGCTGGGAAAATCCACTAATGGGTTGGGCGAGCAGTGGTGATCCACTTTCAACTACAGTTGTTGAATTTGAAACTTCTGAAGCGGCGAAAGAGTTTTGCAAACGTCAGGGATGGCCATGTTACGTAGAAAGTCCAAATATTTTAAAAATGAATGTCAAGTCCTATGGATCCAATTTTTCATGGAACAAACGAACACGGGTTGGATCGAAATAATGTTATCAGATTGCTCACATTTTTCTTGTTGCTAACTTAATTTAGCAGCTACTTCAGTTGTGACCTGTTTTATTTTGCTTGCTAATAAATATTGTAGAAATATAAATTAAGTATATATTGTTTACTTTTTGTTATTTGATAGTAAAAAGTTTCGTTTGTACTTTCTATTTCTCCGCTAATTTTGAGTAAAAAACTTGAGTTGACTCCAAAGTTGTCTTATCCTCTTAATGGGATGTTTTGACAACTTCGCTTGGACAGTGGTTTGTGAGAGTAGTGGTGACTGTTTATATTAATTTCGCGTTCAAAATCTTCCATAGGTCATCGTAATTCGTATCATTATTATTCAACTGGAGCTGGGAGTGTATTTCACTGTCAGCCCTATACTTGGACTTTTGATAGAGAAGTCCTACTCGCTGCCTTTCGTGCGGGGGTGTTGTTTACGAAATTGAGAAGACTAAAAGCGATGGCTCGACCCTTTAACCAGGTTGATGGATGCGCAGGATCCACTTAGGGTAGTTGGAAAACCTTGGTTCCAAACCAGTGGTGTACATGGGCTCCAGGATCCTAAGGAAACAAATGGCGTATGAAACAATTGTTGGTCACCGGCTACCATGGGACTGCATCTCCTTATGTTGCTCCATTGCCTTGTGGATTAGACCTTTAGGTCAAAGGTTCGGGGTGTGGCCCCCCGAAGAAAACCACCTGCTTCGGTTTTGGTACCCGGGTAGTATCCCAGCCCTTACACAGATCGGATGATTCATGTGGCGCATATCTATTTGGTGCCTCTTTGTACCAATGTTTAACTAAATAAACAAATATTGATAAATGGTTGTATAGTTTAGTTAATTTGAACTAGTGTCACATTTTATGTACGTTGATAATCACTTTAAATGTCATTCATTCTACTGAAGTTGATAAAATCTTAATGTTTCTTAAGGTTTCTTACTCATATTGTTGGGAATGACCTAATGAAACTAAGATATTCTTGTCCTGAAACGAATGAGCAAATCTATTCTCTAATCATCCTTCAATAGATTTCGTTGTTGCACATAAATAACTGTAATACGAGATTAAAACACTAGCATTATCGTGTATAAAATACTCAAAGCTACACGTGGTAAATTGTTATTTTTAATTTATTGGGATCTTACTTCAGGCTTGTCACAATTAGTTATGATTATTTGTCTAAAGTTATATTTAAAAAATCATTACATTGGGCAGTAATAGGACTGAATGCTTCTTAGTGTGATAGCTGCTCGAACACTTCTCCCTGACAATCCTTATTGTCTGATAACCTCACATCCTTACATGTATTAAGTTTCATTGTGAGGGTTAAGTATTTCATATATCGAACTTATTTGACTATACCGTTCATTATGGATTCTGTTTCTCACCATGAATCTAGTAATCTGAGGATTTAAATACATTCAAGTAGTTATTATCGCGAGATATTCTTTGGAAATTAATCATGTATTAAGTTAACCGATATATTAGTCTGATAATTTCGTTATGTTTACATTCTTTATAGGTCCGATGCCGATTTCAGTGGATAGGGAACGCCGTGCGAACGCCGGAGCCCGGATGGCTCGGTTGTTGAATGAAGAAGAGGAGGATGAATTCTATTCCAATATTTATGGTGGATTTGCAGAAGTACTGTTCGTGTTTTGTTGTTTATGTAATATTTATTTTTCATGTTTTGTTAGATTAAGTGCGTTGCTTAATCATCACTCGTGAAACCGATTATTATTATCATATATTAAAGGTCACTTAAGCTTATTAGTCTATACATAGTATATGAAAAATATCAGGAACGAAGCATTGTTTTTGAAGATACCAATGGCAATGTTTTTAAAATGGATACTAATTAAAACCATACTGTACGGTTCTCATTGAGGATTGTATTCTACTCTTCATTTTTTCATTGGATGTTGTTAAGACATGTTTTCTTCCTAAAAACCACTCAGTTTGAAGTTCGGACCTTTTTCTGTGTTTCAATTGCCAACTTAATTACTGCTGAGTAATCGGGGCATCATAGTTTATTCCTTTATCGACAGTATTTGTTCGGCTTCATAATGTTGGACAGTAATTTATGTGCGTTTCGTCAGTCACTTTATATGCGTAACCCTATCAATCAAACTTATACCTGCTTCGGTTTGGGCACCCGGGCAGTATCACAGCCCACACACAAACGATGAACTCTATGACTATGGCAACTAATTTTCTCGCTCCGATCAACAATCAATCGATTCAAATAATTATTACTATTATTGTCATTATTAATACCATTATTATTATTACCATTATTGTCATTATTATTATTATTATTATTATTATTATTATTATTATTATTATTATTTTCCACATTGTTCACCCTCTTTTATACTTATACAGCGGCTCGTCTTTGGTGGAAATTCGACTGTATCTGAACGTTCTCGAGTCACTGTCCGGTTGAAAATTGTATGTTACCACCGATTACGAGAACTGAAGCAGTTTTTCTGAAACCACGTGCACCATTCAAACTGGCTGCCTTCAACGTTCGCACACTAGTGCAGGTCGGACAACAGATAGGGCTGGCTATGTCTTTGGAAAGTCTTAATATTGATGTTTGTTGTCTATCCAAGACCCGTATTCAAGACTCTGGCGAAGTACTACAAATTCGATCTCCATCTGTCGCTTCGAAAAGCTTGTTTCACGTGCGTTTATCCGGGTAACATGTGGCATCTTCGTCTGGTCTTGCTGGCGTTGGTGTCACACTAAGCGCTAGAGCTGAGGCAGCACTAGTTGATTGGATCCCCATTAACAGTCGGCTATGTGCTGTTAGAGTAGAAAGTTCCATCAAAGTGAGAAGAAATCGGCGTGAGAAACGATGTCTTTTCGTCATCTCTGCTTATGCCCCGACAGATTGCAGCCCGGATGCAATCAAGGATGATTTTTACCACCAGTTATCTGTTCTTCTCCAGAAAGTGGACTCGACAGATATTGTAGTACTAGCCGGAGACTTGAATGCTCAGGTCGGGCGTCTAGGCACAGAAGAGAGTCGTTTAGGTGGCCGATGGGGACTCGTTGGTCGCAGGTCAGATAACGGGGACCGGCTACTGCAACTTTGCACAGACCACAACCTGTTTCTGGCTAGCACTAACTTTCGGCACAGTCATCGCCGATGTGCCACCTGGCGTCCTCCCTCTGCAAAGCTTGCGTAAGGACCGAGAAGCCTGGTGGTCGGAGCGTGCTAATGAGCTGGAAGCAGCAGCTGCATCTGGTAACTACCGGAAGCTCTTCCAGCTCATCCGAGCCACTGGCAGCAAGAAGTCTGGTGTGAGTGAAACAATCTGCGAGGATGATGGGATGCCAATCACTAACCCAGGACAGGGTTGGATGGCGAAGGCTGGTGAGCGGCCTATGTTCCTTCAAGAGGAGTAACAGGCGTAAGTAAGTAATATTCATACATACAATAGATGTAAGTGAGCCTAACATTGCAAAACGAGGAGCTGGCGTTACTGACAAAAAAGCATAATGGTGAAGAGATAATTTCAATACACTCAGATCTATAGGGAAGAACATTTTGTTAAATTAAGGCTCATTTTAGTCTAGTGCTATGTAACTAATCAGCTGTATTGATGACAATTTCTTATGCCAAATATCTCATTGAATCATGTCTGTAGCATTGAGTTTGTTTTAATTCCTACCAAGAAACCGTATAACAAGCACAACTAGGCAACCATGCCTATGATAATCGGAATGAGTTATAGTAGTTTCAATGAAAGATAAAGCCATATGTGTATTTAAACAAAGTGATTCCCCTACTAAATGTAAAAAAATACGTTTGACCCTAAAATTTTGTGGCGGTAAATAAAACTTCAAAACATATATACCTTTAAGTCTTCAACACTGACGCTAACCTTATTAGTTTTACAGGACATACCCTAGCTGAAGGCACATAGACACGCATCCATATTAGATAAGCATTGGGTACTCAATGCTATGCAGCTCTCTGAACAGCTTGACAGCGTTCATCAAATGCTTCTCGGAATATCAACTACTTTCCAAATGTATTTTCAAAGATAAAATATATAAATGGACGGGAGGAAAAATACCCGAAAATATAATATCAATATCGCCATGTAAAAATAGAAATTAAAAAACGATATCTAATGTTCCAACAAGGAACAACCAATTTATTGTTTGGTATACCATATCACGTTGCGCTTACCACAAAAGATGCCACATATATTCGGAATTTAACAACTCGTGTACACGTAACAAATTTATAATCGAAAGATACCCACCCAGTCAAATCACAAGTCAGAAATGAAGTGGCTTGAAATATGTATTTGGAAAAATATCAATATGTCGAGAAACGTTTGATCTAAGCTGGCTAGCAATTGTGGGACATGTGTAGCACAACATATTTGCTCGTGATCTGGTGCGAATGCGTGATCGAGTGTCTTCAGTTAGGTGCGTCTAGTAAAACTTATGAGGTCAGCATCAATATCCAGGATTTATAGAACTATTTATTTTGGGGATTTATTTACTGCTACAGTCATAAGCTACAACTTATCTTGACAATAAAAACGTTTTTAACTGAGGCAAAGATTTCAAATTTATTTTTAGCTGCTTATATTAATGTCTGTCTCCTTAACACTTGCAAAATCTAAATAATCACATGAACATGTTCTAGATTTATATTGTCGAGATTCCAATAACAGTTTACGATGTAATATCGAAAGTTCAAATACACAAGATATTGGACAATTGTATTTCAAGCGAACACCTACAGCGAACCAAACTTAAATTCAATAAAGTAGAGAGGAATTCTTCAAGCAATCCTGGAGCATTCAAACCGAAAGTGTATAGCTATTGTGAATTTAAAGATGCTTTCAACAGAGCTACTGCAAAGTAATGAGACTTAAACGGAATTACTCTGCTAATAATGTCATTTACCTACTACTTAATACATTCACATAGATCAAACAAGGTTATTCAGTTCATATAGTATATTC